TGAGCATGTCTGTGCAAAGTGTGGTACTTGCACTCAGGGGCCATCCTCTGCAATAGTTTACAGTAGTCAAAGGGACACAAGGGGCTAGGACTCTGGCTGGCAGGTCCCTTGCAATCAGTTGGGTCATGTTAGGGTCTTGGAGCACTAATCCAGCCAGTGAGGTAGAGTAGATTAAGGAGGATGGCAAAGATGGGTTCTGGCCAATCAAAAGAGTATTTTAGGAAGGTGGGACATGGGGTGGAAATATCAAAATTATGCTAATAATGCGCCTAATGCCACAGCTAAAATGGTGGATTCAGGACTGCAGCTCTGTAACACGATAGCATATATTGGGATGCCGACTTTGCAGGAAAGGGAAAAGTTTTCTTTTCTTTTCATTTTCTTTATTTTATGCTTTCACTCCAATGAATGCATTTGTTTAAGAGAAGCAGAGGTGGTGTAATGATACGCTGCAGCAAAGAAAAGACATTGCAATTACATTGTGGTGCTCCAGCCACAGTCATTATGCACTTGCTTTATCTTCACTGTCTCACTCAATTGCATCGATTAGAGCCAGGCATTCAATTTTTTGGATAATTTTCTCAGTTTGGCACTATGAAATAGTGTTTTTATTCTCCTTGTACTTCATGGATCTGTATAATTTTGCTCTTCACATATTTTGAAGTTGCACTAAGCTGCATTATACTAACTTACTTATTTGGTCTGTACTGACCTTTTATCATTCATCATCATTGTATGGACTTTGTCCTTATAACAGTACTCATGTTGTCTATGCACAGGATGATTCTTTGGTTGTGAAAAGAGTATGGCTGAGGAAATGACATGGCTGAGAGAACATGAATGATTCCCCCCCCCCCGCATTTGGCTATCATTTTTCTTTAATGCCAATCCCATTTCCCTTTTCTATTTTGTGAAGAGTTTCACTGCTCCTACTAGCCACATCTGAACATCTCCAGCATAAATGTGGAAGTATTTTTCTGAGAGCAGTGTTTGAATACACACTGTGAATTTATCAACTCTTCTGTGCCAAACTGCTTGAGGTAAAGCTGATCCTACATGCAAAGGATAAACATTTCCTGCTGACGTAGTAAGTTAGCCTGCCCCCTGAGCCATCATGGGCTACAGTGTATATAGTCATTATCTTCCCTAGCCCTTAAGGTGGAGGTCAGGGATGTAATTTTGGCACCGTTTTGTCAGCCTTCACAAATTTGCAAGCATTCTGTGAATATTCACTTTTCACAAAGCAAAAAGCTAATAGAAAAATACTGCAAAAGCTATCTGGACAACTCCTCTCTTGGGGTGCAAATTGTGCAAAAGTCTGTGAGGGTTGCACTCATCTGTAATACATCGGCAACACAAAGCAGTCTGGGATTCATAAATCAAACTCACAGTATCTTTAGAGACTACTTCCATTTTCTAGTTATCAGAATAGAGACCACACATACAATAAATACTAAAATAATTGTCACCTTAGTTACAGAGCTAATAATGTAGATATATTTAATACTAAAATAATATAATACTAACAGTAACCTCAATTATAGAACTGCTCTTCCCCCAAAGGACTCCAAACACTTACCAACTTCATACGGGAGTCATCTGAGTCTACCACTGAAATGAAGCGACCTATATGATGAAACATGGCAGCTATATAAATCACTTCACAATGATTTGGACAAGAAATAAAGAACCCCATATGCTACCGGAATTGCTGGGGAATTTAGGTGTAAACTCCACACTAGGAATCTGGCTGGGACTCTAGAACTGACACACCAGTTCATGCCAAAAAGCATCATAGTCTTTTTAGTGACTACCAGTGGTGTGGGTACAGGTTTGAGAATAATGATGAATAAAGGAAACATCTCAAAGGATTTTATCAACATACCACAAGGCGCCCTAAATTACCTGATGAACCTTAGTTACCCAAAGCTCACTGTTTTCTGAAAAAAAGTGTAGCTTCAAAAAACTGTCAAGGACCAAAAATTCTGCCTATTATCTAAATCATTCATTGGCCAAATCTTTTCAATATACCACATTTTCTTGCATGCAACTTGTACATTTTTTTCTAAAAAGGATAAGAGAACTGCTGCTGGAAATTGAAGCATGCATTATATGTGAGGAAACATGGTAGGAGCAGTTTCTGCCACTTACTGAGCAAATGTGTCAAGTCTGCACATGATCCACAGGGGGAACACAATGAGCAGGCTCAGGTCGCTAACTGCTGCTACTCAAGGAAAGATTTTTTTTCTTCATTCTGCCTTTCAAAAGCAAAGTGCATATTTTATTCCAGAGCATGTCATATGAAAGAAAATATGGTACCTGATGACACAGATGAATGTAGGCAGAACAGCTATCACCTGAACAGCATTTACTTATTATAAATATCCATAATATTCCAATCATATAAGGGATATATATTTCTTGCTAGCCCACCACTTGTCAGCACAGAAAGACAGAAGAAAATGGCAAGTGAAAATTTGGAGGCAGATATCAGCTTGTAGAATCTGTGCTAACTTCACTGAAGTTACTGGAATGAAAACAATTTACACCAACTGAGCATTTTCCCCGTAATATTTTTGAAGATCTCACAAAGACTCTTTCTTTGCTAAAGTGCCACTTATTTTGGCCACAGCCTTGCAAAGACTGGAAAAGAGATCAGTCTGCTTAGTTCAATACAGCAGCAGACCTATCATGAATCGTGGTGCATGATTCTGTAATATGGGTCCTTCGAGCAACTCGATGAGCTCTGTTTCTGCTGTATTTTCTGTATCTGTCCCCATTAAACAGGTACATATTAAAACATGATGAAATGGATAACTGCATAGTGTAAGAACCCCATTAGAGTTATTGGCATAAGTAGGGGCCTATTTCATTTGCGGTTTCACATATTTCACAGAAACTATGACATCTGGGATCGTCCATGAAATCTGCAAAATCAACACAAAAAGGAAGCTTAAAAATAAAATGCTGGCTCCCCAGTGGGAACCAGCAGTCCTCACTGCTGGGAGGGGAAGGCACCAGCTGTCAAAGTCTCTCCACTACTCAGCACTGAGGGACAGGGCCACATGAAGGGCAGTCAGCAATCAAGATGGTGGCTGCCCCCTTGTCTCTCCTCCCCACAAGGGCCAATTAGCACTAAGAGGTGGGGCCTCTCTGCCAATCAACACCGAGAGTGGGGGCCACCACAAAATGACCATGAAATTAGAAATCCTCCACTGAAAAAAGAATGGAATTGCATGTTGTTGCTGTACATATATAACTCAAATAATAAAAATTCTAAGTTCACCTTGTCTAAAGGAAGATTTGGAAGGCCAAACTCCTTTTTTGGGGGCTGAAAAACAAGACTCCATTAAATATTATCTATAGAAACAAAGTAATTGAAAACATGTACCATAAGGAACGACACCCAGTGTTGAGTTGAAACCTAACTGATAACCTCTGAAGAGGATCCTAGTTGAGAGTGTAGTTCATGGGTTTTCAACCTTTTTTAAGAAGTGTACCCCTTCTGGTGGCGGTGGCTAGATGTGGAGTGAGGAGGGGGAGCTTGCACACGGTGGCAGCGTGGGGTGGTGGATGGTGGCAGAGGTGGCTGCATGTGAGCTCTCCCCCACTCCCTGTTGTCTGGTTGGCCAGGCGCTGCCTGTTTGGCCTGCAGAGGGGAGCCGCTGCCCTTGCTCCGCATCCCCGCCCCGGCTGTACTTCTGGGAGGTGGCGGTATGGGTTGGTGGGTGGTGGTGCTGTGTCCCCACCTGCTCATGCGTACACCCCAGCACCTTTCCAAGTACCTCCATGGGTACGTGTACCCCCAGTTGACAAGCTGTGGTGTAGTAGGTTCGGAGTTTTGCTCACTCAGCACAGTCTTTCAAGCTTGATCACTGTCTTTTACCACTGTCTTTATTCCTCCGGGACAAACTCCCTCCCAGCAGGAGTCAACATAAACAGTCCAATCTGTAAATCAAATGGATTGTAGCACATGGGGTCTTCTCCCAGACCTGAAGAGAGTCCTCAGGCATTGTTCTGCTGCCACATGTCTGCTTTCTCCCTTGTCTCTCTGTTGCTTTCAGTCACAGGAAGGGCTCACTTAGAGTCTCTGCTATACTTGTGGTCCTCTGGGAGAGAGGCATTCTTGGCATAGTATCCAGGCTCCTCTGTGAGTTGACCCACTGGCTCTCTCCGACTCAACGCTCCATCCTCATTTGCAGCCCTCTGACTTCCAGCTTGCAACTTCCAGCTCTCAGCTTCTAGCCCACAATTCTGTCTCGCCCTGACTACCCCTGCCTCTGTTCCTTGGGAGCCTTTTTGCTGCCTGGATGCCAGCTAGTTATCTGTCTCAGTTGGTCCCATTCCCTAGGCAGCCTGTAGTCAGGTTTTGCTGCCTGCAGCTGGGCTAGTCCTCCTAGCAAGCCTGCAATCAGCTTCTTACTGGCTGCAGCTGGCTGCAGCCCATGAAAGCTGCTACAAATCCCTTGAAACATATAGCCTATTACAAACCACTACTAAACAATGAATGTGGATACAAAACTCGATAATCCTATCACCTCTGGACATCTGGATGAAATACCTTATAAAAATTCTTCACTTAGCTGTGGGGGAGGGGGGTCTTCATGACCAACCCCTTCTATTATCATATACCCAACCAAAGTGTAGATTGATGCATGTCATTAATGACTGTATATCTGTAATTGTGAAATGGGGAGGATGAGGAACTAAGGACCTGGGGAATCAGAAATTCAGCAACCAGCAAGAGCCCAGAGATACTGGTGTCTGGCCTCCAACTTTGCTCCCAGTTGCATATTTTTGTATTCCCATTGCCTGATATGAACACTAGTTAAACTTTTATTTAGCTTTCCAATAAAGTGATTTTCTTGAGAAGAAACACCTGTGCATTCCCTGTATTCTGGGAAAAAATCTAAAAACAAAAGTCCCTTTGTCTTAATTTGGGGATAGAGAGAATTTCCCTTCACATTTCACACTGGGGTACTAAATCCTACAACCCTAGGAACTGGCACAGGTAGCTGGCAAGGAAAGTTCCCACTTTTCTATAGGGGATGCTGGGAATTAGGGTCACAAGACAATGGGCTAAGGAGAGGGGGGCAGACACAGGTAAATAAACATTAAGATACATACACGTAGGATCTGGGTAACAAAAGTAAACAGTGACACTGTGGTGAAATCACCCGAGAACAGGTAATTGGTAAAAAACACTGACACCGTGATAACTTGAGAATTAGGGACCTACTGAAATTGTGATTTTGCAGTTTTCACAACACCAAGATTTCAGGTGGTGTCTCTGAAAAAGTGCAGGCACCATGAAAAAACATGAAATTGTGGAGCACAAAAAAATCCCAAAAGGACAGCTGCAAACAGAGAAAGTGGTGGGAAGTCCTTGCATCCTGAAGCATGTGGGGAGGGATAGGGAGAGATGGGATGTAGAGGGATGAAGAGGGAGCAAATGGGAGGCTGAGCCACTGACATATGGTCAGTCCAGGAGCCAGTCAGGGGCCAGCCAGGGAAGTGGAAGGGTTTTGATGCCAGCTTTTAAAGTGCCCACAGGCATGCTGCTCCAGCATGCTGCTGCCTGAGGAGGATTCTTCTTCAGCATGCCCGCTGAGAAGAAATCCTCTAAGATGGCCAAATACGGTTCAGCGCTGGACTGTGCATGACAGTAGGGCTGTGTGAAGCTTCAGTTGCTGATTCGATTTGGTGGAGATTCAGCCCAATTTGGTGGCTGAATCTCCAAATCCGAATCAAATCAGGAGACCCTTCAATCTCTCTGAATCGAATCAAAGAGATTCGGAGAGATTTGATGATTTGGATATAGACACAGCTTTAGGTGTTTTTTCTACATATGTCAAGGTACCAGGCGACTTGTGAATGCTGAGATGGTGGGGTGGATAGAGCCAGGGGGTTGGATGGATCACTGAGCTGGGGAGGTGTGGAAGGCAGGGTCCCTGCGTACTTGGCGGTGGTCCCGGAAGTGGACCAGAAGTACTTCTAGTCCACTTCCAGGTCTGCTGCTGAGCATATGCAGGACCCCCCTGCACTTCTGTGGGATGCTCTATCTGCTCCACCATCTCAGCATTTGTGAGCAGCACCTGGTACCTCGAGGTACATAGAAAAAACATTTAAAGCTGTGTTTATGGCTGAATCACTGATTCTCCTGATCAACATCGAAACTTCAGATTCAGCCGAATCAAATCGGGACAGCGATCCAAATCAGCAAATCAAATCGCTGTCCCCCAGTTCAGGCTGAATCCAAATCTGAATTGAATATGGCTCATTTTGCACACCCCTACAAGACTGTATCCTGCAGGGACCTTGCACATAGATGGTACTCTCCTGTACCTCCTGCAATGTAACTCTGGATGGATCCAGGAAAATCAGCATAGATCAGCACGTGGAGTCTGAGGCACACATGAAGAGGAAGGTTACTGCAGAGGCTGAAGGTCAGAGCAAGAAGCAAGTGACCATGCTTGAGAATTGTCAAGCTGTCCTTGCAAAAACCAGTGCAGAAGGAACCTATTCCAGACAATAACAGTGAAGTGGAACCAGTAGTACAGGTACAACCCATTATTGCCACCATGGTTCAGACAACCAGCTACCCCCTTCCTTAGCGCTGTTTGCATTTTGGACTCCAACTAGGTGTATTTGCTGAGTTTTGACCCCTGGCTACTGAAAGCAATCCTGGGATGAGGCAAAGAGCATGACAATGAATATGCTGTTTACATGAACTTTAGCAAAGACTACCTGATGCCTGTGCTTGTGCCTGTATTCTGGGACTCTTTCTGTGATGAGTTTCCACATCTTTAAGCCTTGGCAAGACACTGCCTCACCATTCCAATAGACTTGATGGTGGCGAGTGTGCGATCTCAGTGTATGGACAAGTGTTCACCCCACAGAGACAGAGGATGTCTGCAGTGACTGTGGCTGGGTGCAGCATACTTGCATTTAATACACAGCATGAACTGCCTGTCTCAAGGTTAGCATTCAGTTTTTGGTAAACTTTTTATATTGTCCTTTAAAGTGTACATTGGTGCTATTAGTTACAATTCATGTTGTGCATACCTTTATTTTCATAGGTTATTTCAGTTTAGAGTATAATTCAGTGTCTAGATGGTATTTGTTAATAAAATGTATACATTTAGTATTATTTAATAAAGTGTATGCAGTTGGCATTAGTTAATAAAGTGTATGTAGTTGGTATCATTTGCAATTAATGGTGTGCATTGCTTTATTTTATTAAGATATTTCATTTTAGACCTTAATGAAGGGCTTAGAATTCTTAGCAAAGTGTCAGTTAATGGCTTCCATGGGGCTTAATTGGGCGATTAAGCTTGTGGAAGCCATTAATTGACACATTATTAGGAAGCGGTGGTTTGGGGCCATTTGGAAATTTGTGGGAAGGGGTAGGACTTCCGGGGTCCCTTGGCCAACTAGAGATGTGGGGGGCCCACCATGCTCACACACGAAAATGGCTGCCCAGCCTGTCATCTGCCTGCAAAATCTGCCAGCACCTGCCTCAATTTCGATAGGTCCCTACTGAGAACCTTGAGCTCTCCCACAACTCTGGAGGACTCCAAACCAGTCTCTGGTCCCATAAAACATTTAAGTGACATCTGCCTGGACTCCATGTCTGAGCCCCACTGCTACAGCTTGCAGTCCTAGCTCCGCTGCTCCTTCTGGCCATGCGTGTGTGTCTCTCTCTCTGCCGTGTGGCACTGCTCGTTCCACTTTCTCCTGACCTCTGATTTTTTCCTGGGAGTTGTAATGCATGTTGCAGTTCCTTCTTCCAGTTCCCTGGTGGCTTCTGGGAGTTGAAGTTCATGTTACAACATTACAGTGCGTGACATTCAACATCACAGCATGTTACACTGGCTTTGTGTTTGTAGACAGGGCTGATGTTCCACTAGCAAGCTCCGTGTAGATCATTACCTGAAGTTCATTGCCTGTAACAACTGTGACTTACAAAATTTACTGGAAATCCATTGATTTCACTATAAAATGAGTTTCTGCTTTATTTATCCATTAGCTTGAGAGACATCACTTAAAAAGATAATGTGACAGGAAAAATATTCTTTCATTGAATTCTATGATTATTTGTCACTGGGCTACAGATGGGGTCAGCAGCACGAAAAATGAAGGCGTGAAAGTGAGAAACAACAGTTTCGTAGCACTGAAGATTTTGTTTTCTTGTGTTGGCTGTAAATGTGGTTGTATTCAGGTAGACAGAGGCATGATTTAGGGACCATATTTTGCCTTTTCCAGACCCTTGAACACTTGTTTTGGAGTAATGGAGTGAAGCAGAAATTCCATGATCTACCCTGTTTTCTGGGGTGGATGCAGACAAAGCTTTGGAGAGCAGGCTACTTAGAAGCCAGTCCTGGTGTGTCTACAGAATTAAGCAACACACACTCCCCCTTGGGAGAAATAATAGCCCTACAAGTCCGTGGAAATCTTGCCCTTGATTTCAATGAGGCCAGCATTTTACTCTTAGAAGATGTTCCTAAATGTCAGCACCTGTGAAGGGGGCAAGATCCAGCATCTCTGTCTCACTGATCATGACCTGTGGGGGCTGTGGAGTTCAATAGCATTTATGGACCAGGCCAAGTCAAGTTCTTATCTATCACTACCTCCATCTTTGTTCTTACCAGCCAAGTAAAAAAACAGAATTTAATCCTAATGTATAAGACCCCCTTTCTCCTGCTGGGCTAGTGCAACTGGGGATTTTTGAACAACCAGAGCAAACTGAAAACAGCCCTTTTAAAATGTTGTTCTAAGCAGATATTGTTTACAGTTGGTCTGACAAGATGAAACAAAAGTATAAATCAAACTTAGGGCACAAATCTTGTTAGTTGCCATGTTAGTAAATCAACTCACCTAAATAATCTTGAGCCTTTGACAATGATGCAGCCTCTTGGACTGAACACTCAGCTCTTGCTGTGCAGTGAACTTGATCTCCTGACATTTCGAAGGATTGAGATCCTATTTTTGATGGTTCAGTTTATGCTTTACTATAAACTATTTTGAGCAGGGCAGAACTGGATCCAAGCAGTTGATGTTCAGGTCTGGAGTCAAGCTGTCTGTCTCCTCTGACTAAGTAGACTAGGTTAGAACAGTGCATTATGTGTGTTTGTGTGCGTGTGTGTTTCCCAACTGGAAATAATGGCAAAACATAAAAACAGAAGGAGCCAAATAATTCAGAACGCATAAAAGATGTTCCTGGGAATTTGTCCTGGGAACTTGTCCTCTTTTAACTTTTCAATTTTAAGGGAAAATGAATATTTTTAATCTGTGCATCAGAGCTCACTCCCATAATAGAAAGCTTGTGGTGAAAGAATGTTATTTCTATTTTATCTTTACTGTTTGGTACTGTTTGGCAATCAATTGTATTCTTTACAGCTTCAGGTACTAGGCCTCTCAGATCTGACAGCCCTTAATTACTTAAGAATGATCTGGTAAAAGCTACATCTGGAAATGATGTCACTTTTTGCTATTGGCATTGGAAAATCTTACTTAAGTAAAATGCATCCTCTTAAGCACTAAGCCTTGAAAGAAATTAGTTCAGCTGAGCACTCCCTTTTACAGCTTACATTTCAATGAAAAATTGCACGTGCCTTTTATTTAATAGTTTTGGCATCTTCCCATGTCTGAACATTATATTCTATCCCAGTCTCTCTATATCTTTGTCACTTGTCCTGCCCCTAAGTTTCCCAAATCCAAGTGTTCCCCATATGCTATTATTCCTCTAGGGGCAAAAGGGAGTGCATACTCTGAAACTCCCAGTCTGATCAGTATGTTATTTATGGATGGATAGACCAAATCTGCTAACACAACAGCAAGCTGCTTCTTTACATCCTTTCCTATGTTGATTCATATCTTGCTTTTCAAATGATCTTGTGGAAGGTAAGCCTGAGTTTTCCATTGTAAATGTTGTCTTATCTGATCTATACAATAATAAATAGGGGAGATAACCTACCCTAATAATTATAATAATTATAACGATTTGTATTGCAATAGTGCTCTGAATCCCTTGAAGAGATCAGGGCATCATTGTGCTATGTGTGGTACAAACATACTTTATAGCAGTGGCTTTAGACTGAAGGTATCCCGCATTAGACCTGAGGAACCCTTTGTTAGACTTCAGATGCCCCTCCAGAAATGCCAGCTTTCACTCATTTCTTGACTACAGAAAAATAATAGAGACATTCTTGTGCTGCAAAGAACTCAGAAAGCCCACGACAGGTCAGAATAGTTTTGACACTATGGATTTCTGTTTGAAATCTTAGTGTTTCTCTTGTGAATCATGTATAGGTGGTTGTACACCTAGTATTGTGCAACACCCCATGGCACCTTTAAAAGGATCTCAAGACATCATATGGTGCCATGGCACCTTGGCTGAAAGTCACAGCAGGGGAAGAGGAGGACAATTAATTGTTTAATAAACTTGGAGAGAAATCAAAGATCTACATTATCTAACTTATGCTTGCAGCATGTAGGATAAACCTTTCCCAGCTATTCCCTAGTGTGGAGAATGTTCTAATTAAAAATACAGATTATTGAAGGACTGACACCATGAATTTCTCTGGCACATTAACCAACAGGATGGTTGGCAGAACTGAAACATCCATGGGCCATCACAGAAGTTGTCATCAGTCAGATTTCACTTTTTTCCATGCTCAGGCTGGTAAGCAAGATGGCACATGCTAATATATTTAGCACATATTGTCTTGCATCAATGTGATTAGACTAACATTTTATAATGTCTTCTTATAGTAAATCAACCATTGCTTTGATTAGAATCCATTTGTGCACTGTGTGGTGGATTCTGTTCAAAAAGTATATTGACATGGATGCACCAGGGTGTGCTGGGACAATGCTATACCACCTGCTATCGTAATTAGACCACCTATTGACAGGAGGAGGTTCAGACACAATTGGCCAGCAATACCTGGCAGTGGCTGTGTAATAATAGGAGTACTGCTGGCAATAACAAATTAAAAACAGAGATCCTATCAATGAAAGTCCAAAAACCTGGCACTGGGATGGTCCAGTCAGCTTGAGGTAGCACTATGGAGTCTATGATGGAGGTCCTGGCTGTTTAGGCTGGAGTCACACTGAAGAAAGAGCAAAAGGTTGTGAGATACAAAAAGAGGAAGAAAGCAC